AATTTTTTGTTATATATCGTTAGTAATCACTAATGATAATAATTGGCAGGGGGGTTGTATATCGATTATAATCTAGGGGATTACTATCGATATATAGCACCTTTTAAATTTTGCTAATGTAGATGCAGAAGGTTTAAATAGATAACCCTCTAGTTGGATTATAGATATAATATCTAGTATAGAACTTAGTAATAAGCAGACTACTTAAAATAGGCAACCAAAAGTTGTATATGTGGCTAGTTGTATTCTCCAAATATGTATATGGTATAAAAATCATACTGTAAAAATTATAACTATAACCGAATAAAGGTATATGACTAAGAAGTCACCTTAATATCGAAAAAAAAAAATAAATATACTTTAATTTTTCTGACAAATTTGCCTAGATTACAGTTTAAGGGATAATATAAAATTAAATACTGCTATAATACAGTATAATGTTTATTTTTAAATATTATCAAAAAAATTTATTTAAAGATTTTTACTTAAAATAACTGGTAGTGATTATCACCTGTATAATTAACCAATAATGATAAACTAAAAAAATATTTTATTTTATTTACTTTAGGGTTAAGGTAAGGCCTAGGATTTTAGCAAGGTATTAGATATATATGAAATTTAGTGAAAAATTTTTTTTGTTAAAATGTCGAAGGTAGTTTTATAGATGAATTCTTGAGATATCAATATTTTTTAAAAAAAATTTTTATTTTAGTTATACAAATTAATTTGCATATTACATCTGATCCTGCAATTTTATTGGCTAATTATATACTGGTAATGATCATTGCTAAATATAGTTAGTAAAATTCTTATTTAAATATATTAAAATTTAAAAAAAATAAATTATAAGTATATTTATAATAATTTTTCAGGCAAATTTGCTTGGAAAAGCTTTACAATTTAAGGAATACATAGTATCTGTATTATATATATTGTGCCTTAGATGCATCCTTGTATCAAATGATATCTGGTCTGAGTTAGGATTAGGATTAGGGTAAAAATCACAGAGTAATTTAGGCTAATTGTTGCAGATTATTAATGCTGGTCATCTAGTAGTCATCTGATATATGTTAGCTACAATCTGATGCAAGGATCCATCTGAGATACAATATATATATTATATATCTTATTAGTATTATTTATAATATTTATAATATATAGACTGTTATGTTTCTAAAAAATTGTAAAATATAAAAGTAGCAGATATGGATTGTGTCTTTATATATTTTTAATAATAAATACTTTTTAGATACAAAATTATAAATAGTTATTAGTATTTTTATATACTTGTAATTGTTGTCTCTTTCATAATTACAAATTATTCTAAATCTTTTTTGTTAAGTTTTGTAAAAATACTATATCAACTTAGTCAAAATATAGTAATTTGTTAAAGTTATATAAAATATTTAATAGCTACAGTTACTCTAGTTGTTTATTATTTTTAAAGAAGTAGATATAGGATAACAGTATGAATCAAAAATCAGATAAATCATGTGGTAGATAACATTAACAAAAGTAAAGGATGCTATTAACAAGTTTCTAAAAAATTAATAGTTATTACATAGATATCAGTGTGTAATTTGTATCTACTTATTTGTATAGATAATATAAACCTTTAAAAAAATAGCCAATCAGAGAGCACAAATTTTAGATATTCCAAATCAACCTGATATAGAATCTAAAGAAGAAAAAAAAAAACTTAATATTAATGTTTAAATCAACCTTTTGGTTGACTAATAAAAAATAATAGAGATGAAATTTTATATATAAAAAACCCCAACTTATCACTAAAGCTCACAACTCTAATATTTTAATTCTAAACTTCTATTTTTACATACTTGGTTTATTTACCATAGAGCACTGCATAAAGTACCCCCAAGAAATAGTACCCCCCTTGATTAAGACCCTGATATTATTCACCATACATAAAGACTTAACTATGGTTAGTACCTGGGTACTTTTCAAAGTTGAAACTTATGAAACTCGGGTATTTTTCAAAGTTGGAACTTTATGGACATTGATTAGTACCTGGTATAGTTTAATAAAAAAAGTTCATTATACTGTATATTTCTTTTCTTATAGCTTACAACACCTCTCATATCTAACATAAAACTCTCACTTTTTAGGTCCTAATTTTATTTACAGTATTTATTTATTTTTTATTTTATTTTTTTAATACCCCTCGCATACAATACCCCACATACAATACCCTTCCACATAGTGTATCCCCTAAAATAGTACCTAGTTCCTAACACAGTACCCCCGGGTACTAATCAATTTAAAAATGATGTTCTTGAATAAGACCCCGGGTACTTTATGCAGTGCTCTACAGTACAAAATTTGATTTTTTTTTTGGTTTGTATTACCTGCGCAAATAAGTTAATCAGTATAACTCGGTTATTCAATACAGGCTTTACTTATTTGTACCGGTAATACAAACTTCTAAAAAGGAAATAACCAATCAGTGAGTATGAATTTGATCATTCCGAATACTAGTGTTTAATCGATCTTGGTGCACTAACTAAAAATGCCGGGAACGAAATTTTATATATAATAAGCAACAGTCTATGGCTATAGCTTCTAACAGTAACGTCCTAGCCAGTGTTACAAAGATCAGTATGGTATGGATGTGATTTTACCAAATCGTACCATACTGTTTTGCTTAATTGTCACACCCTCTAGAATTTAGGGTTGGATCTGCCCGGAATTATGCTTAACGCCGGCCGGGTTTTTTTGTAGGTGTGACAATTAAGCAAAACAATATGGTACGATTTGATAAAATCACGTTCATACCATAAGTCGTACCATACTGATCACCTAAATTTGTTTTTACGCACTTTGTTTATTTACAAATTAAAAATCCTTTTTTGGGTGGTCGGCTAAAGCGGAGCGAGTTTTAGGGTTACCTTTTTGATGTCGTTAGGGTTAGTGGGTTATATATATATCAAGAATGTAATTTATGCAGTATGTAAATCATATATTGAATTAACTCCGCTTTAGCCGACCCTTTTTGGGTTGTATTACCAGCACAAATAAGTAAATCCATTTATTGCAATAACTATAATGCTGTAATGGTTGTCAAATTCTGTAAATCGTGGCACCGTGTAAAATTACGTATCATAAATCTACATTAAAATTTTAATCTTGGTTGTTTCTTTGAAAAAAATCATGAAAATCACCATGACTTTTGGCGTTGTATTACCCTATTTTTGTAACTTTTTATTCCTGCGATACAAGTATTTATAGCAAGGTACGGAATGCGAAATTTCAATCACCGTCGTACTTTGTAGTAGATTGTTTGATTCAAATGGATAATATTTTTAATTTCGATTTAGACAAGGTTCGCGTTTCCAATGTAAATAGTGCATATTATATTAAGGAATTTATAACCGAACAAAATGAACAAGAACTTTTGAACAAGGTTGGTTTTACTGTAACGCTGTTTCAATTGGATAGATTTTAATGCCACCGACTCCAAATCAACAGATTTTTTCCGCGCCAAAGCCGAAATGGGTTGTTCTAAAAAACAGAAGGTTATTTTTGTTATTAATTATTAATTATTTATTGGTATAATTTAATGTTTTAATAAAGTGAAGTTTCAGCATACACGATTAATTTTGTTAAACACGATAGACTACAAAACTGGGGTAAACCTGCCAGCGTTAACCTTGACATTCTTATAAATGGCCTATTACCTAATAATTCTTTTATTACGCAAATTTAATATAACTATGTAAAGGCGGTATACCAACAGAACGCGGGATGCTTTCTGAACCGCTTCCACCTTGGTTAACAACTTGTACGTTTCCAAAATTTTCAGCTCTTGGCCTATTTAATGAATGCGAAAAATTCAAATTGCCAAACCATTGTTTAATTAATGAGTATGAAAGTGGGCAAGGAATTATGGTATATTCAAGTATCTTATACTTTTCTATTGATTGTTCCCTCTGACAATATCATTTTTTTCTTCTTTCTGACATCATTCTTCTCGACGATTAAGCCGCACGAAGATGGTCCATTTTATTATCCAACAGTAGTAACAGTTTCATTAAAATCACATACCATTCTTGATTTTTATAAACGTTTGGATTCAATGAATTGCACAATGGCCAATACAAATAACTGCGAGAATAAGAGCTATTATAGAGCACCAGAATTTTCACTGCTACTTGAACCTCGAAGGTATGTAGACGATGGTTTTTTTTTGTAATCTCCTGGTTTTTCTTACTAAGACTATTTTACTTGCACAAAGCCTTTTAGTTCTGAAATATGACCTCTATAAAACTTATCTTCATGGAATTCAAGAAACCAAATTTGACAACTTAAATGAAAAAAATATATTAAATTACAATTTGACTAGTATGGCAGATGATTTTGAAAATAATGATTGCATTGTCTTGAAAAGAGACACGAGGATTAGCCTGACTTTTAGAATCGTTGAAAAAGTTATTAAAACAAGGCTTTTTAATATAGTTAAAAAATAACGCTTAGCTAAAAACTGGAACTGATGATATACAATCGCTTCTCTTTGTACCGACCTTTATGAATACTGGTTATAAAAACTAACAATAAATAAATGTCACGGCTGATTATGAAATCGGATTATTGTGAAATTTGGATCTATTTCATGTACGATTTTTAAATTTTT